AGGGTTTCTTATTGAGAAGAACAAATGTCTATCAGTGATAAAGACAGAAAAATCACCTTGAGATATTGAACTGGCTGCAACAATTTACTTGCAAACTTGGAAAACATCAAACTGGGATTAATGGCAAAAATCAAGTAAATATTCCAACATTTCGAGATGGCAGCAGCATCCAAACTCTTGTATCAACAATGTAGTTTTATTTATTTCATCAGGCTCCACCTTCTTGTCTTTCAGCTGCAGAGATCTACACTTAGCTTGTGCTATTTATGTTAGTCAACTCACTCCTTACATTCCAGTAGGAGGTTCTAAAATGGATTATACAGTTTTTGATAATGGTTTTGTTAAAATGTGTATTAACTACAAAAAGAGAGGGTAAAGAAGACAAGAGTACAGACAGTAGTTTGTTTTTGTGGTGAAGAAACAGAAACATGACTCACTGAACTCTGAGACCTGAAATACTGGTCTGACTGCTCACATTGGTTACCATGGTAATGTGCAGTAGGAAGGGGGAGGCAGAGGAAGACAACAAAAGATCTACTACTGTCTGCTGGAGAAGCTTCTGAGCTAATGGGGGTTCCTGACACAGCCACAGGCATACTGGGTATTTGAGTGTGAACAGAGCTTCACAAGTGGAACAATGGTGGTACTACACACAGCGAAACAGCATGAAACTGTGCAAGACACCATCAGCAAGTGCTGTAATGAACTAGGCTCCACACTACTATGTTATCAATGAATATTTCCTGCTTTGAGGCTGCAGGTGCACGCAAGCTATAAAACCCAACTGATTCAACGGTGTGTTGCATTCACACATGACTATTAATCTTGAGTAGGTTACACGCCAGTCTGCTGTAACATTTTTAAAACTACTAACATGGATGAGTAACTGCATATCATCATCCAATGACATATATTATACTGATCATTCAAGTATTTTAAAGAGGAAATACCATCGGATAGTCTACCCAAACACAAATTTCAGGATGCCATTTTGATTTGAGGCATCTTCATCTGAGCTTCTCAGAGCAGTAAACAGTTAATTGTTGGCCAGAAAAACACAAAGCATTGAAACAAAGACACTGAAGGTTTGACGCTGCATATTTGATAACAAACTTAACTGAATATTTTCACTGTGACTCATTCTGCAGCTTCAGCCACAAATATCCTGAATATTTAAATGTGTATGTCACTTTTCAGAATCCAGCTATGCAGAAGTGTGCTTTTTTTTATACTCGCACTAATTTCTTATCTGTTCAGGCATTTCTGAACCACGTGTTTACTGCTGTATCACCTTACCACAGCCTGTGAGAAGCCTGCTTTAACTGGCTAAATTCACAGATATCAGCCAATAATCTTCAAATGTGACAAACTTCACTATATTTACTATATATACTTACAATTTATATACACAAATACTGTACCCAAAATATGTGGGTGGATTGAATATATGGAAAATGGATGTGTCTATTCAAAACACATTATTTTGCTCCTAAAGCCTCAATAACCAGGCCACGAGTTTACATTTTAACTAGTGAGTTTACTCCTCTACTATAAAATGCCAGCATCTTGCCCAGCATTAACTGGGCTGTCACTTAGTGTAAGGGCTGCCGGCAGGGCAAGTGCAGAGAGATAGAGAGACAGAGCAGGGTCATGTTGGAGACAAACAAAGAGAAGGGAAACTGTTTAAAAAAAAAAAAAATTTTAGGCCAAAATTGCATATTCTGATGAAAAGGACAAAGTCACTACGTGCATTCATCGTAATGCATTCACAAAAACATTCAATATATTGCCCAATTCTAGCCACACCACTAACTTACTATGCTTCCATCTATATGGACAAATACACATGACAGCTTCTACTTTATATTTTATGGTTGGTTCTTCATTGGTGCCCCAATTACTGATTTAAATGCTCTACTTACACTTCACTTTAGCTGAATGACAATGAATGAATGAATTTTTTATTACATTTCAGCATTGATGTTTATTATTACTTTTTTATGCATAAAATGGAACGGCAGTGAGGATGCAGTCTGTGTTCAGTTTTATCTTACCGCTATTAAGGTGTTGTTCCGGCTCTGCTCTGTCACTGTACCACCACTCTCTGCAAGCTCTGTGTTGGCACCTGTTCCTCCTCCACCACCATTGCCCGGAGCCCTCTGACCCGACTGGTCACCGCTGGACTGGGACTGCCGATGCTTGTTGGATCGTTTGGCTTTGGCCTGTAGGCAGCGCTGGTGCAGAGAGAAGGTCTGCTGACGCTCCAGCTCTAACCGTTCCAACGTTGCTGTCTCGTAGCGGCTCTCACAGTTGTTGTGATGCTGGCGGAAGAGCTCGATCCTCCGGCGGAGCCTCTCCATCACCGCGCTGTGACGCGGTGTAACAAAATCCGCCATCATCAATACAGACTTGCAGTTAACTCCCGGCTCAGGTTTCGTCCATAAAATGCTGAATCTGGCTCTTTTTCACTGCGGGCGTCTATACACCCCCCTTGCCCTTTACAAAGACTCCTGTGCTGGCTCCATGGAGGCGACCTTTGTCTTGCTAATGGCCTTCAGTCACAGTGGCATTCACTGCCAAAAAGGAAAATTAAGTTTTTTTTGGTGCAACACCATTTAGCCTCCTGAGTTTACTCACTTAACTCAATGATTAGCACAGATAACTTGATCTTGAGCATTTTCAGACAGTATTACATGTTTGTTACACATTGTTAATTCTGTATCAAAGCTGTAAGGTTATATCTGTTAAGAGCCGGTAGTAACCAACAGCAGTAGGCAAACTAGGAATTAGTAATTACATGATAAGTGAAAAAAAAAAATCCATCTATCTTGCTAACATACAGTTCAATTAGAAAACCAAAGCTTTCTTCTAAGTTTTGTGATTTTCACCCACAACAACAACATTTCAATTACTTTGAGTACTTAGTCTGAAAGCTGTGATAGACATTTGTTTTGAAATGTATGGATTGAACTATGATTTAATTAAAGGGGTCTTACAACTGAGGCAGCATCACGTTTATCTTGTTGTGACTAATCACAGACTGATGTGTCAATCATTCAACTGAAATCAAGTGGGCAATAGTTTGTGACTATTTAACTAAAGGAACTATTTTATTTTAAACAAAATACTGTTTTGTTGAGAAAGTTGTAAGAATGTCAAATTTATAATTTACTTTACTGTACCAGCTCACTTAACATATTGAACATAGAATTTAAATTTAAATTGATATGACCACACACAGATGAGAAGGGGAGAAGTAGATGCATAAAACTGCCAAAACTAAACGAGTATCTAATAATTTTAATTTATATCCCCCTGCTAAAAAAATTAACATTTACCTTTAAAACATTCGTCGTATTCCTTTACACTGTTAAAACATGTAAAAATCCCTTTTATTTTAAATAATATGCGAACTCCATAACCTGCGGATATGGAACTACACAGTTACCGTGGTAGTTAACAAATATGCCAAAATGCTAAACCTCTCGATTACTTTTGTCTGGGAATTTGCATTGACGGCGGACTATCCACTGGTGTGTTTATTTATGGTTTATCAATTGAAAATTATTGGAAATATTCAAGGGAGTAACTTGACGCTAATGTACGTGTAGTAATTACGTACTTTCCTGTTTTTCGGTCAGTTTACATGGGTAGGGGGCGGCGTTTAATGTACGGAAAGTATACATTATGAAACATATTTAACACAATAATATTCATTTTTTATTTAAAAGTCGTTATTTTTTGGTACAAACATGAAATCCGTAACTCTC